TAATGCAAATAATCGTTTGAATGATATGATATCACTGAATGGCTTAGGTGCTGATTACATTTTAAAAATGCTCATGAAAAATAAACCCAGGAGGGTTCGGAGGTCAGCAGACTCGGGATGCGCCGTGCAAATGGGAGAAGGTGCCAAAAGAATTTAACACTATACTTTTTTTTTTTTTAATTAACCCCCACCCCCATGATTCAGGTCTTTTGGAGCATTTCTATCATAATTTTTTCAGAAGTCATCTTCTCACGCTGTATGCATTTTTTAGTAAACTACTTTTTATTTCTCCATTTTGCTTTTAAATGTCTTAAAATCTTCCTTTTTTTTTTATGTCTGAAATTCTTTTGATTCTAAATATTTTGTAACTATGAAGCACGTCGAGTTACGTTAGTGTCTGAAATGCACGATATAAATAAATTGCTTTGTCTTTCCTGTGCTACTTAGAAGGAAAATGAGCCAAACAAAGAGAAGGCAAGAGGACATTTGGAGTCCCCTGTGAAGCTCCACGCGTGCGGCCAATCAAAAACTGGTCCTCGGACCGCCCCGGTGCCACCAGACCTTCCCCCGTCGTCCAAACGGCCATTTTCCGATGTGCAGGTGAGCCCCGAGGCAGTAGAGAGCCTCGCTAAGAAGAGCAACGAGCACTACAAACGATGCCACCACGTTCCCGACGAGACCTTCGCCATTCACACCGGCCTCACCGGAGCCTTCTCCGGCGTGGGGATCACGATCGCCAGCGACAACGGCGCCCTCTCCCTCAAGCGCTCCAGTCCGGTCACAGTGGCCAAAAGCCTCTTTTCCGAAATGGGAGAATCGGCACTAGAGGAGAAGCACTTTGAGAAGTTGTTGGAGTGCAGCTTCACATCGCCGCTGGGGAGGTAATTATGCTTTTTAACAAACATCCCAGACACTCATATTATTAGCCATCGTTAGAAAGCTCACAAGTAATTTGACGACGCCATAAAAAGCTTTATAATTTCCGAAAGCTGTCACAAGATGGCGGCGAAGCACTATATGAAGCTCCTCAAAGTCACTTCAGCATAGTTCGCTTGCACCAAGGTGCCGCACGACGGCGCCAAATCTATTTATCCATCGATATTAATGGACGCATCTCTCTCTAGCAGCGGGGTTTGCCGCAGTTTGAGTCTGGACTCTGACGTCTCCAGCGGTGAAACGTCGCCCACCACCGACAGCCGTAATCCAGCAGACCACGTCAGAGCTGCCGAAAATAGCGCCTCACCTTCCCCCGAGAAAGGCGCCGCGTCGTCCCGTCGACAGACCCACTGCTCTTCCTCATCGCCCCGCGCCACGGCAACACCGGTGTCCCTCGGCCGACCCGAGTGCTCCTTCCTGCGGCCCAAGAACGTGGTGGCGTTCCGGAGCTACTGCAGCTCCATCAATCGCTCCAATGTGTCGCGGCTCAGCGTAGGTTCCGCCTTGGACGCGTCCTCGCCCGCCATCTGCCTCGCCACACCGGTTCAGAGGAGGATCAGCTCTGGAAGCTCGCTCTACCAGGTGGGGCATGCGCATTGCGGTGTTTACGCCGCTATAACTCAAATTTGTATTTTACTTGATGTCTTTTCCTTGTAGACTCCTCGGACCATGTCCACCTCGCACACCCCTTACCGTACTCCCAAAAGTGTGCGACGGGGGCCGCCGCCCGCTGAGGGGGCGCCCATTTTAGGGACTCCGGACTATTTGGCCCCGGAGCTGCTTTTGCGGGCCTCTCACGGTAAGAGTGAATGCAGCTTTCTTTGAAATGGTGGCATATATTCTTTGTCCTCTGCAAAGAATGACTTATTCGTGGGGATTCCTGAGTGGGGGGTATATGTATGGATTATAGCCGGCAGGTGTGGGGGATTCACTGTACTTGTACCGTTGTGTCCTGCTGCTTTCACTGATCTCACAGGACTTCTTTGTGAGTTTCAGGGAGGTGTCGATGCGGTAAGTGTGCAAGC